CCCATGCAGAGGCGTATTCTTTTAATCGTTAGCACAGCGCACGATTGGGAAAGTTTTACAGAAATCAAGCTCAATACAACATCGCCTCTTCTCAAGCTATTAAAGGAGTACTATTAATGAAAAAGCCAGAGAAAGAGCTAACTGTTGACCATCGGAAGTACATATATACGCAGCAAAAGCAGACTGTTGACCAGTGCTAATGCATGGGTCAAAGTAAATTGCTGTGACCAATGCTGACTTCATAAGTTGTTGATTACTGAATAAAATTTCTAGCAAAAGAATTAATGAGTCACAGTCAGAGATATACAGCTCTTCTAAATCTAGTGCTCAAATTGATGAACTCGAACTCTATCAAGACTTACTCCAATTATATACTAAATCCCTCTCTGAATAAGGTCCTTCTAAGAGTTCCACATCCTAAACCTGTTTGGGACGGCGCATACCAGCTCAAGTACGCGCATGTTTGAAGGGTTTTCTCTCTGGACAGCTTTCCTCTCTGATTTTTGGTAAACATTCGAAAACTCAACTTTCTGTGATTCCAATAATATCTTTGGTTTTTGACTAACCCTGTTTTCATTGCATTGTAGTAGCGAAAATAAAATTATATTTTGGTCACAGTTTGTTTTGTTTGGTCGGCTGGGGCATGTGTATAGCTTTTCGTCAAACTCTTATTAGTCATTCAATAACCCAAATTTTGACAGTTTCATTATTGTAATCGAGTAGAGCTTTCTAAGAACGAAAGTAAGTTACATTTCACAGCCAAAGCAATTTCCCTGCCTCCCGTACTTAGCATGGAGATCATTGATAATTATGAGTAAAGTTTGTATGTTAGAAATACTTTATATCTGCAATTAGATATAACATCACAAAGAAAACCTCAAGAGGGTTTTTTTTTAAAGAGAACGATTAAGTGTCAAAAAATACCTTATATTTCCATGGAAGAACACATCCTTACGAAAATGATTGCACTTCCGACTGTTATTGAACATTTTTTGTTGAGTTTTCTATGTTTTTGCACTCATTGATATTTTTGGTAAATGTCGACTTTAATAATAAACTTTTTTTGTGAAAGACTCTCGTAATATACTTTACTAACGAAAAAAATAACGTATTGTTTTTGGTGTGGTTAGCTCGTTGTTCGGATTTCACAGAGAGCTTTGTTGGCAATTATATAGTAAATATTGGCTTATGAGAAAGCTTGATTGCTGCAGGAAGACGAATCATTATTGTAGATACTTCTTCAAACGTATTTTTAGTAAACCGAACACCCAGTTATCCAAAAATCCCTGCTTTTCAATACGAAAATTAAGTGGGATAACAACACAATTGCACCTCTTTCTCACATTTTTTGACGATATTCTGGGAGTGTAATTGTTAAATACATTTTACATAATGCCTGGCTCAAAAGAAAGTTATGCGAAAGATTTTTTTAGTATCTCATTGGAGGTAAACCATGTTAGTGCTGCCACTCATCATTATATGGAGTGATTTTTCGCGAAGAGTGCATCTTCTTCATCCAAATTATCTCAGCTTTTTACTGATGATGTAGATTTTCTAATCAAAGGTAGGCCTTGTTAGTGCACAGCACTAAGTAGGAAAAAATACGCCTAGCTTTCAAGGTAGTTAACGCGCTGTTTGAACTTCACAGTGTACTTTGTATACCTTATACAGCAAACTTGAGATAGTTGGAGCGCTTCGTCAATACCAAAAATAGCACATTGACAAGGAGATTTCTAATAGGTATTTCTAGCAAGAAAAACGTTCATACGTTCTAACATTGTGTAAACTTCAACAAGAAAACGGCATATTTCAAAACTGACAATATTCCAACTCTTAATGCGCATTTTTGTCGCCTACCTTGTAAGAGTAAGACCATCTTTTTCTACTGATTATTTGTCCAATAGCCATATATACGTTTGTTCTATAATCAACAATCAAATATCGAGTGTGCACAGTTCGTGGAAGCCGACGCTTTTTTTTACACCTAAGCCTTACGCTTCTTTGAACACCTCACATCGTGATCGAAGGGTGGGGCAGGATTCAGGTAAACGATACTTTCTCTGGCTACTCACCAATCATCTTTTTACCAGTGCTCTTTTTAACATCATTATGCACAATACAGTTTGATATTGGCGAAAAGTTTGAAGTTTTGACCTTCTTCAGAACCTGAGGAACTCAAAATAACTCGCAATTTCTTTAATTGACTACTACCGAGGACACACTCTGAAGGCAGCAGATGCCGAGAAAGAACAATGAACTAACGAGAACTACGTAGTTCTTACCAATTTTCTTAAAGGCGCCTGTGGATTATCGCACGAAGTCTTCCGTAACGCAAAACTGTTCGACTGCTCTGAGCCATATATGTATTATAAATGTTTTACAAAAATTAGCAAAGTCTATGTATCCAAACGATGAAAGGGAAGGAAGGCACTCATGGGAAGCAGTTGGGTGAATTAGGTCTGTGGTTCATTGGTGGGACGCCACGACCACCTGCTCGTGGTTACATTGAATGGTCACATTGAAGTTGTTTCGAGAGACTGGAATTTGCGAGAGCGAAAGGGAATCGCCTTGAGGGCAATCCACTAGAAAACACGTCGAATAGGCAAAATAAGTGAGCGTGTGCAAATGTAAAGGTTACAACGACGAGCAATGTCCGAAATATTAACGACGAATAACAGTAAAGAACACGTGGATAGAGAAAAACCAAAGAACCAGTGACTAAAGAGAGTCTGTCTTGTAATTCTATATAGGGCTCACTTCCTGAAGTACACTAAGAATCCAAAATTATTGAGAGGTATCGATGAAATGGGATCGCAAGGAGCATGCACCATCATTTTTGACAAATTACTCATTGTTTTCCAATTTCTAATCATTACGATGACTCTTGGGTACTGTATAAAACTAGGAAAGAAGAATGCCAGGTTTTTATTGTGAAATCTTTTCTACAACTCATTACAACTGATTGAATGCCAAATTTACTATGATTGTTTAGTAAAGCAGCGTTTTTCTCTGCATAAAATATAAGCATAAACACAAATAAATAATTAAGTAAATAAATAGATAGATGTATTCATGTACATGCATACTAAAAGCATATGAGCAAGTACAGAAAATCGTGTTTTAGCAAGCTAATGCAAGAAACCCAAAAATTTTCGCAAAATGGAGAAAAACCCGTGGTTAAACAACGAAAATTTGCCACTGCTTGCAACTCGCTCTGCGCTCCAATTTCTGTAGCCATCCCAAACGGGTCAAAAATGTGTTTTGAGTTACCTCCTCATGAGACAAGCGATAGAAACGGGCAATAAGAGCTGAAGATATGTCATTCTCCTGAAAATGTGCATTTTGAACTAAGATCTAAGGTTTTCCGAGACACGTGGTCATTCTTTCTGCTAATAATACATTCATTCAGTAATTCAATTTTTCAACGACAAAATTTCTCTAAAATCAAACTTTTATTGTACAGGTCGCAAAACAAGTCAGTGTAAATTTCAGACAACGGACTTTTTAGTTCAGAAGCAAAACGTAGTTCTCTTTTCAGCCAATACAGCACACTCAGAGTATCTTTTCATAAATCGCACCTTTTACTAAAGTCTCCAGTTCTCATGCTATCAAATGTTTATTTACAGTCTGGTGAAAGGCCTTGTTCAGTAAGAAAAAAATAAGGCGCTACGAAATACATTTCAGTGAATGCGGACTACGCTTCTCACAGTTCGTGATGAAAATGGAGCCATTTAGGATATATGGTCTTTTTTTTTTCGCTAAAAATACGCAGAAGTTTCTCCAATAATCAACTATTTTTAGTAGCGATAAAGCTTTTTTCGATTCAACGTTGTACTATATAGTAGTGAAAGATCCGCTGTGAAGTTGAAACAACGTACTGCGATAACTCATTTTTATCATTTTCGTTAGTAGAACTTAGTATGAAGGTCATCCAACAATCCTAGCTTAATATCAAAATCGGCATCTTTCAAGCTATCAAAGGAATATGAAAGGTATTGATAAAATAAAAAGCAAAAGATATCACATAGCAGCTGAAAAATGTTGCTTTTCGGAAGAGAGCAGTTTTCTTATGGGAACATAGAAGATTTTTCGATCATGAGCGCTCTTTTTACTGGAAAAAACGTCATTTATGAAAGTCTCGGTTGTAATATGACATTATTTGATAAAAATAATGCTCTCTAAGACCTCAATTACCAACTAAATTCCCATTCCATTGTAGCGCGTGACTGAATTAGATTCCATAAGTTTGACATTAGAGCAAAAAAGACCAAATTTATTGAACAGAAGTAATTTAAATTGCTCCGTAACACTTTTCAAAGCATGTACCATCAGCCCTAACACATTTTTTCCATCTCTCAGGCATCAAATCAATGCCGCTTTGTGCAGATTTTTCTGAGCCTTCCAATGATACCAAATTTGTCCATACACACCATCATGTTGCTCGAAGGAACCTTTTTCACAGTTTGCTGCTTTAAAAATACGAATTGGGACTCCATGCACAGACCGCTTTCGAGAACACCAACCGTGCAGAGGCTCGAGAATTTGTGTCCAGGAGAACAGCATTTCGGTTGTTTGCTGAGCTTCGCGCCGGCGACATTAGCTTGAAGGACCTGCTGTCCTCCCGACGTCCCACACGAAGTTGATCGAGGCCGTCATTGAAGCAGCAATTGTGATTAGTTCTGGTTTATAGACTTGGTGTTTATTCCTCTAGTGCCAAAACTTATGAGAGGCCTAATGCAAGCAGTTCACCGTCGGGCCCGTCACATCCGCGGCACATAGCACGATCTAAAAACGGACCCTGTGGTCATTAAGAAGTTGCGGAATATAGTAACGAGAGCGTGTGGAATTACTAGAGCGATAGGAAGCTCACTGACTAAAGGTTCATGGCAGAGAAAGTTTTATTAATTTAGTTTCAAATACTCGGAATTAATAGTATTTTAATGCACTTCGCATTGCTATGATGTTTTCTATATACCTAAGCGGGTGGTGTGCAAAAACGCGGTCTCAGGAGGGAATCGAACCCGCGTTTCATCCTATCCGGGGACGCGTCCTCTACCGCTGCACCGCTGAGGCACGTTTGCCCAACCACTGATTCTTCAACATCTCAATGTTAGCTATCAGCCACCAACCTTTGACAGGTTTGGTCGGGTGTGCGATTTCGCTTTATAAACCCAGTTGAGCTGACAGCTATTCTAATTACTAATACTCGGAATTAATAGTATTTGATGCATTTCGCATTGTCATGATGTTTTCTATATGCCTAAAAAAAATTGAGTGGTGTGCAAAAACTTATCTCTTAGGTATATAGAAAACATCATAACAATACGAAATGCATTGAAATACTATCAATTCCGAGTATTAGTAATTAGAATAGCTGTCAGCTCAACTGGGTTTATAAAGCGAAATCGCATACCCGACCATACCTGTCAAAGGTTGGTAGCTGATAGCTAACTTTGAGATGTTGAAGAATGAGTGGTCGGGCAAACGTGCCTCGGTGGTGTAGTGGTAGAGCACACGTCCCCGGATAGGATAAAACGCGGGTTCGATTCCCGCCTGAGGCCGCGTCTTTGCACACCACTCAATTCTTTTAGGAATTTAGTTACAGTCGCAAGAAGCATGATCATCATAAGAGCGGATTCAATATTGACCCTTTTGATACCGCCTATTGTAATCTCCACGCACAGTGCAAATCGCACACGGGGTGTGTTTTTTGCTATTCGATTGAAGTCTCTCCACCGTTGTGGAAATAAATCTGGAATTCCTTGTAATAGTTCGATAGCTCACGATGTCCTCTACTCAGTCGTATGCTTTTGATTCAAATTTAACGTCTGTGTTTGAATATAGAGCTTCTTTTATAACGCGATTACAATGATGCCGGCATTCTGTCACTTGTAATAACTTGTACAATAAATGTAATAATATAAATTTAACAGTTTTGATACGATTCATTATATACATTGCTAAAAAATATTGTAGCGACTGAAAAAATGGTGCACAATGACTGTGATTTCAGGTCATCGGTAAGAAAACGTAGGAAACCCTGTCGGGACCAGGCCTGAGTCGGTGGCGAAAGCTTTTCTTTGGAGTTTTAGTGAATAATCGATAACTAAATTCCCGAAAACTACGATAATTTACTTATCTTTTGTGAAAAAAATTATAGCGTGGTTTAACAGCAAGGATAAGATTATTCTACGCTCGGTTTAATGTGAACATTAACTCGCCACGGAGACAAATTTCTAAATGAATAACTAAAATCTCTCCTTCTGATGGCGATGCACAAAGTGATTTCAATTGCCTCCCCGAAAGGTATGATTTTCTTAACTTATTTGAAAAACTTTTCTTTATTTCGGAAAAACTTTCACACTTAACATAATTGTAGGAAAGATTATGTCTCATAGTTCTATTGATATTGGTTTTATATTACTCTCGACATAACAAATAAACATGCTTTAAATTTCAAAGCAATGGCAAACTACTTGAAGGACAAAGCACAATTTTTTTTCGTTCTTTCACTCTGTAAGGAAATTTTTGATTCAAAACTAAAATTCGAAGTTGTCATGATTTTTTCCTGTCAAATCGTTATCTAATTATGATTAAATGTCTATGACAACCAACCAGCCTTGCAGATGATAAACGTCGAAGGTAGAACACAATTTTCCATTCGCTGTTGATACCACCTGTTAAAAAGATTTTTATAGGAAACAAGTTTGGTGACAGGACTAGCATTTTTGAGGTAATCTGAAGAATATTGAAGCTGTGGTAAAAACACTATGCCCGCCAAAAACACATACTGCACACTCCGAAGACAAATTGTAATTTTCTCTTCGTTGCTACAGCGTTTGAGTTGCAAGTTTCTCGGCTACCAAATGATTACTTAAAAATCTAGTGAAAATCTAATGCCGATGAGGAAATCACAAAAACCTAGTTTGCCACTGTTTGTACACTTTGTCTCGAGAAGGAAACGTGAAGGTAATAATTTTTTTTCGCTACTATAACGCCATTAAGGCGCTATACAAAAATTAAGTTCACGGTTAAAATCTCCGCTGCTCAAGCAATTGATGTCTGCTAGAGTTTTGATGAAAGAAGTTTGTCTGACGGGATAGTGAACCAAAACACATGTGCAAGATACACTACTCACTTTGAAGAAAAAAAGTAATTTTTTCTTCGTTGCCACAACTCACTAGTGAAGCGATCTGGAAATTATACAGTATTAGATACGAAAATTTTTTTGCTATCGAATAACGACTAGAACTTTGAGGAAAAAGCTCTGTCTGGTGAAAAGCTAGACAAACAGAATTGCAAAATACGCCGTGCACTTCGAAGAAAAAACGTGATATTCTTTTTGCTACTACACCTCACTAGAAAAGCATTTCAGGTATCGAGCATACTATCAGAACCGCAATTATTCGAGCTATCGAATGATTACTTAAAGTCTGATGGAAACTCTGTGCTCGAACAAGAACAAAACAAGAAAACCACGAAAAGGCGCGCGTACCATGAATGGTACACGTAGTCCTGAAAGGGTTAAAGAAAAAGATGCGCTATTACGTTTGTTTTGTAGTGTTTGGAATGATGAAGATGTTTATTATGCAGTCACAGGAGAACCATTTGTTCTCGAGACCCTCGGCAGTCACTTGATGTGTTATATTGTGAACGTTTGTTCTGTTTCACTATAATTACAGATTCTCGCTTAAGGTAGTTTAGAATGGTGTCCTCATGAGTTTCTGTGCGCTGAAGTATGGTTGTCTCCTGAAAAGTTGGACATTTATTGCATGCCTGCTGGTAAATTGAGATAGGAATGTGTTCTGCCGTTCTGCTTGGTCAGATATCGTTGGTGATTTTTGCCCCAAGTATTGTTGCTCTCACTTGTGACATTTGTTAGAGTTTCAGCTCATTAGTCGTAAAAAAATCTTCTAACTGAAGGGAAATTAGCTCCTGGTGTTGCGAGAATTGTCGCTTCATATAGGTGATGAATGGTGGAGTGTATGGTGGAGTTTTTTTACAAAACATTCAAAAGCACTCTCTTGTAATTCAGCTTTTGATAAAATATTAATCCGCAGTCGCGACTAGATCACATTTCCTATAATATCTAGTTGTTTTTTTTTTCACGTGTTGATTTTACCTTAGAGGCTTTTGACACACATGATGCCGCCTGTAACTCAAACAGAAATGTATTGCACTCGTTTTAACATCTAGCTAATTCGTAAAGTTGTCCGGTATATCCACATAAGTGTGAGGAAAGAACTCATCGGAATGTCGTTTGCTTAGATATTGAAGTTTCGCTTCTAGTTCTCTCTGCTAAATCGCGTTTTTCTTCGCGTTGATCCTTAGAGGTTCTAAACACCCCTCGTCTTTAATGCTCGTCCTTCTCTCGCTGCCCTGTTAATGGCACATACTTCAAAGTTTTCTTTAATTTTTGAAGTAGTTTTCCTACATAGATATGTTATTGACCTTTGATGGTAGGAGAAACTGCTTGCCGAACAATGCGACTTGATAGTTGATAAGGCTCAGGATATTTCATTAAGAGCTCCAACTGCGCTTAGTTCGTAAAAGTTCTAGTCGTTCCTAACATTTTTTTCTTCATATGATCCTTCTCAATGAGGCCCTTTTCTTTTCTGCAAACAGCATACTGAAGATAGTCTTCGTTGCGAAAAATGTGTTGAGTATTGGCCAGTTGGGTGGCCGCAAGGTTTCCAAAATGTATTCCTTCTCCACATTTCTTCGGGCTGGAAGAGCTTTCCCGAAGCCATTTATGCTATTTCAGTCTCCGTTCCTAAATTTTATATTTTCTCAATCACGTTGAATAAATCCCACAAAAGACGGATGCTATGTTTTTTTCAGTGTTCAAAAAAAAACTATTACACCATCAGAAACATAGGAAATAGGTTGTAAAAAGTCTACTCTTTTATTTTCTCATCCAAAAGAAATATTCTCTATGTACATCTCCACATTCTTCCTACATAGATCAACAATTCTTGCATGTTTTTTTTTTGAAAGCGGTGCAGTGTTAGTAGATTTGAGAAGCTCACTAACCATCTCCTTCCAAAGCTTGAGCAAACTTGTTATCTGTTGTTGGCCGATAGATCGACGATTCGCCTTCATCAGAGCCTATCCAACCATATATAACTACTTACATAACTACTTACTTACATATATGACTACTTACATATATAACTTATAACTTATAACTACTTAATTTTATTACTATTATTGCTATTTACTTTTTTTGTTATTTTTAAACTATCTAATTATAATCAAATTACTTAGAACCAAACTGGTTTCAGACTTGTCTGCGACGATAAGCAGCACTGACTCGGTTTAGCGAGAGGATACCGCGAGTCATTGGAAAGGCCAGATATGCATTCAGTCACCTCAAACAAAGTTAGAAAATGAAGACGAATGCATGGCGCATTCCTCAAGGATTGATCAACGCCGAGAGCTTTATCCTTTCAGTTTTTATTCAAATTAACCATATATTACTTTATATTAAAGTGCTATTTATATATATATATATTATATATATGATAATATTATATTATGGAAGATAATTTAAATATTAGATTATTTAGTCAACAATTTTTTTATCTAATAAGAGCCTAATAATAAAATAAATGTAAACGTCCACTTATTGAGGAAAATTCAGCAAAGTTCCGGTATGGGGAAAAGTTACCAGTGTGTCACACACTATGGCTGATGAACCTTTCTCAAATTAGGAAGTTATTCTGAGAGAAGATGCCCCCCCCCCCCCAATTTGTGATATTCACACACTCTCTTTGCTTATTCGAATTTGGATGTTTGAAATTTATTTAGGAAGCCTCAACAATGTTCCGCGTTGACGTTTTTGATTCGTTTTCCACAATTTCTCAGTGCCGTTCAACGTTATCAGCGTCATACACTTTTCTGTCCTACGTTTGCCTAAAGGAATACTTGTTTGACTTTTCGATGATCCATCTAACTGCCCTATTCAAATACAAAATGGTCTACCAGTCTAGCCAAAGTATTCATCACCACATTTCCTCCAACACATTAGGTATATTGCACCTGAACTCATGAAACCTCCATCCTTACCGTTA